TGCAAACGAATTTGGGCTTTTAAGAGTTAAAACTTCACTTAATTTTTAATCATTTTTTTTAATAATAGGAAACAATATTATCATGTAGTTTTTATCCCCAAATCAAGTTACATTTTTCTATCACTATCTCGTATGAATTCATTGTAATGATAACAAAAGGCCATTGGTATTTATTATAATAAATTATTTACAAACTAATGTCAGTCTATAAAGTGAGAGATCTATTGTAGAGTTATCATTGTAGATCAGGGGTGGCCAACCTTTTGATTCCATGCGCCAATATTTTGTACGATTAATTTAAATGCGCCACACAAACATTCACTTCCTTTCAGTACGTGTTGTAATTTGGACATATTTTAAAGGTATAATAAAATCTATTTATTTGAAAAATATATGCTTATGACCAGGGGCGTATCCAGGAGTTTTGAAGGGGGGGGACATCAATCAATGTTTTGACATTTCTTTTCTCTTCAGATTTTGGCTTAGTTTCTTTTCATCAAAAGGATGCAATGCGCCACTTGTAAGCAACCAATGCGCCACTTATGGCGCATGCGCCACGGTTTGGCCATCCTTGTTGTAGATTGTTTTTTCAGTTTTGTGTTGTCTTTCTAAATTTGGCGCCTGTTCTATAATTATAATTTTTACGAATTTGGAAGAAAAGTACAACACTTTACACGTACACTGTCATGTTGCTAAATTAGCGGCCGTCATCTAAATTAGCGGCCGTCATCTTTTACCAGAAAATTTTCTTTTCTTTTTCAAATGAGCCAGTTGCTGATTGTTGGGCAGTAATAATTTGTCTATGTTCCAGCACACCGTAATAAAGAATTCTATTTGAGGCCCGCCAAAAGGAGAGGATGAAAGTCTTTTTCTTTTTTTTTTTTTCAGTGAGGTTTCATTTCGGTAGAGATGCTGAATACTGTTTTAGATAGAAGCATTTTTATTTTTTGGCGGGACTACCGTTTATCGGTTTCAAAATCCTGCTGGAGATCGACTTCAATAAAACGGTTAACTAAATGGAATTGATAAACACATGTACAGTGCTGATAGTGACAATGAAGAAAGAATGAAATCAAAGAAAACCCGGGAATACCTGCTAATAATTGCAATAAGGTAACCACGCTTATTATTGTGATGGATCTGCCTTAAATAAGTAATGATAGTTAAAATTAATGATAGATTAAGTAATAACAATAGTTCAATTACGGTGATAACATTGTTCAACGAAGCTTGAGGTGTACTTATCAAAATATTGTGATGAGATTACATCACTATTTCTCTCAATTCGGCTTGCTTCATTTATTAAACTGCTTTATTTTCGTCGTTGACTTCTTCCAGGACCGTAAACACGGCAAACGGTAGTCAAGCCTGACTTTCTTCGCTTTTAATTCCCGGGATGTCAATTTTCATAACCAGTCATCGTTGTGTTTAAAAATGTCGGTTTTTTCTATGTCAATCAGGAAGAGAACAACAGTAACATTTGTGAGTAATTCTCCAAGCTTGTTTCTTAGGCTATTAGGCATATTATAATTATCAGATTGTACAAGCACCAAAGCCTTATTCAAACGTCAGTATTTCGCAAACGATGGTGCTGAGAATTGCTTGCCTCAACCTCAATATTTCGCAAAAGATGCTGCTGGGAATAGCTTGCCACAACCTCAATATTTCGCAAAAGATGCTGCTGGGAATTGCTTGTCACAACCTCAATATTTCGTAAAACATGGTGCTGGCAATTGTTTGCCTCCATTCATATATAGCGCAAAAAGTCAGAAGTGATAAATTTATGGAATTTAACCACATTTATAGAGAGAAAGAAAAATAGATCTTAATTTATGGAAAAGTATTGTTTTTCTGTGTTAGTCTTATTATCTTATTATCACTTGCGATATTCATTCATATAATATCCAGTAAAAGATATTTATGAGAAAGGACGGAATACTGATTGAAGAATATGATGTCTTGAGAAGTCATTGTCTTTACAGATATTTATCTAGTCGCATGCTCAAACACACTACAATAGTAATGATATAAGATTCTAGTTCACTACGGTTAAGTGGCTACATAATTATTGTTGCAGACAAGTTTTCGTAATAGAATGTTAATAATTGCGCATAAACTGTTCGAAGTTCAAGTTTTGTTCACTGTAAATAATATATATATATATATATATATATATATATATATATATATATATATATATATATATATATATATATATATATATATATATATATATAAAAAAGTGTGGTTGGTTCTGCACAAAGCCTTCACCACTATAATCAAATCATATGTGCTTGTGTCTGGCTGTCGGTTCCTAGGAACTGAGCTACTTGACCCTCATACGTCGAATACGACGGGAGAGTCCACCACTATATATATATATATATATATATATATATTTTATATGTTTTAAATAATTGTTGGACTTTGTCCATTTCCTAATGTGTGACGTCATTTGTTTACATTTAGATACGCATTGAGCAGATATGAATGTACGTGAGAGAATCATAGAAGATTTTAGTTTAAAAACAGTAAAATCGACCTTGCTAACTGAACGCTCGTCTGTGGCCCAATCGGTTAAGGCACGTCAGACTATATGACGGTTTCGTATAGGATACAGGTTCGATTCCTGTCAGAGGATACATATTTTCTATGAAAATTTCTCGGACATTCAGGCCGGTAAATGTCGTTTATTATAAACAGTACATTTACTTAAATATTTGTATCTATAAAAAATAATGTATAAACATAAAAATGTCTTAAAATATATATGTGTGTGTATTTACGCAGCATATATTCATTCAAATGTTTCATCGAATAATATACGCATATTGTGCTTATTTATTTTTTTATACTGGTACTTTCCAGTTTTCTAATCAGTTTCTTGATGTTAAGATGAAATTCACCAAGTGAGGTTTTCTTGTGGTCCATGTATTTCATCTATGTTTTTAACTAAGATACTAAGATACAAATATATCATCTACATATCTTAGGTAGATGAAATAGTTTTAGTGGTGTCAAATATCTTATTTCCAAGGTTAAAAGTTTACTAAATGTTGGTCCCAGAATCACCATCACAACGGAATGCAGATTTTATCGCAGTTACAATAAGTTTGTCTTTGTAATTTACCCTGGAGGTGATCTTGGAAAAGTTCTAAAGTGCTTGTGTTAGAAAAAAAAACTACGGTGCTTTCCTTGAATTACATCTTAATAATCAATTTCTTGATTAGATAACTGGAAAGTATCAATATAAAATAAATAGGCACAATATTTCTATATTATTCAATGATATATATATATATATATATATATATATATATATATATATATATATATATATATATATATATATATATTTTATAAGATAAAGAATAAACAGGAAATGTATATCAAGCTAACATGTTTCTTTTTTATTAAGCTTCGTCAGAGATTGAAAGAAAACAGAGAAAAGACAATCATGTTTGGGTCAATTCTCACTGGTCAGTCACGTATCACATGTATTAAAACGGTAGATGATCCTATATGTATGTAAGTTTGTGAAGATTCTTGTATGTCTAAGTGGGCATCGGATAGTAATGTGTATTCATGATTGTGTATGTGTCTGTGTCTAATGCGAGTTCTGATGTCTTCAGCTTTTTGCATTCTATGGCTGTTCTTTTTAAGCAGGTATGCTCTGTATTAGATAGAAATTAGATTCTTTAAGAATGGTGTCAAAGAAAGATGGCGATGTAATGTAATGTTTTAGGTGTGTGTTTATAGTTGGTAATAATGTTATCAAGTTTTCAAAGAATTTTTCCCCCATAAAGAATGATTTTCTTTTTTTTAATTAGGGTGGCATTAATGAAATCAAAGTTATGTCCAGCATCGTTTCGATGCAATACAAGAGAGTTGGCTCGTTTTTTTAAACGCAAGTCTATCCTGTTTTCATACTCCCACTAGACAGACAAGTGAAAGATTGATATACATTTCCTATTTGTTCTTTATTTTAGCATCCTTCCGGATTCCGATCCATATTTGATCTTTAATTCATATATATATATATATATATATATATATATATATATATATATATATATATATTTTCATCGACAGACAGACTGTTTCGCTGTATCACAGTTCTTCAGTGTGGCTAGACGTCCGGTTGCCTCTAGCTAGGATCGAAACCCGGCTGAATTGGCGTCAGTCGGAGATTCTACCACTAAGCCGTCAGCAGAGATGAAGGTGAATTTTAGCGTATTTATTTTTAGATAAACACACAGTGACTGAGAGGACTCGATTCGCTTTACCGAAGAGTCTTGCTACAATGGGACTGTTTACAAACCCACACTTTCTCCTCCAGAGAGCTCAACCGAAATAAATTTTTCAGGGGTCTATATATTGTCATTCACAGACAGACTGTTTCGCTGTATCACAGCTCTTCAGTGTCGCTAGACATCCGATTGCCTCTAGCTAGGATCGAAACCCGGCTGAATTGGCGTTGATAAAGGTGAGTTTTAGCGTATTTATTTTTGGATAAACACACTAAACACAACTGAGAGGACTCGATTCGCTTTATCGAAGAGTCTTGCTACAATAGCCGTAATTGTCACTGTTTACAAACCCACACTTCCTCCACCAGAGTGTTACTCTCTCTCTATATATCTATATATATATATATATATATATAGAGAGAGAGAGATGTATTATATAATTTTGTGTCTAATGCAAGAAATCTTAAAAATTATTGAACATTATTTTTGTCATTATTCCATTATCCACCATTATTCCGAATTCTAGAGATTCGACTCTTTCTTATGTAGAAAGCATATTAGGGCTTACTGGCAAGTTTTCTTCTTTTTTTTTTTCTAGCTGTCGGACGTCAACCTGTGGAATAATTTTCTTTGATGTCTTCATAGATTTCATTGCTTTTGTTCCCTTCTCCCGATCAGGTGTGTCTTGCTTCCACGTGTAAAGTGAACAACGGAAATTTTCACGACATATCGCACGCAGCCTGACTAATTATGACGTGTCTCTCCCCCAGCACCTTCCATTCTTCACCTGTTTGGTCCGCTTCCCGACCGGATAGGAAGGGGATCGAAGGAATCAAAGAAAAAACTGTGCCTACCACTCGGCATCTAGCGTTCAAATATTCACTCACCCGAACATTCTATTTTAATGGTTACCTTTCTTTCTTTCTTTCTTTCTTTCTTTCTTTCTTTCTTTTCTCCATTTTCTCTATTTTCTGTTTTTTACTATTTCCTCCACCTTCCTTTTTCCTTACTTCCATTCAGTGAAGCAGACGTATCTTCCCTTTCTTTCTTTCTTTCTTTCTTTCTTTCTTTCTTTCTTTCTTTCTTTCCTTCTTTCTTTCTTACTTTCTTTCTTTCTTTCTTTCTTTCTTTATTTTCTGTTCCTTTCTATTTCTCCCACTTTCTCTTTTCTTTACTTCCATTCAGTGAAGCAGACGTTAAAACTGTTACCGCTTCCTCTATTTTCTTTCTTTCTTTCTTTCTTTCTTTCTTTCTTTCTTTCTTTCTTTCTTTCTTTCTTTCTTTCTTTCTATTTTCTCCCCTTTCTATTTCCTTCTTTTCTTTTTTCCTCGCATTCATTTCTCTGAAGCAGACGTCAAGCACCTGATAATGTTATCTCTTACTCTTCTTTCTTTCTTTCTTTCTTTCTTTCTTTCTTTCTTTCTTTCTTTCTTTGCCCACCTTTTTAGAAGCATTTCCTTCATCCTTTCTTTCATATTTTCTCTCTTTGCATATTTTCTCTTTTCTCTTTTTTTTTTCGTAAAGTATACCTTTGTAAATTCGGATAAGAATGACGGGTGTGAGGAACGGTAGAGAAGGCGTGTTGATGATTAGTGATGGATGGTGGTGGTAAGTGTTGACGTGTTGGTGACACCAAACGTGTCACTCTGTGAATGGGATATGGGTGGGTCGTCGTTTCTCCTTTACACCTGAATATCTTGAAAACTACACAGGGCATAGAGCTCCTTAGCATATCCACTGACCTCCCATAACGATATACTGACACTACCATCCATATATGTATATGCATGCATTGACGAATTGTTTTTAAATTTTTCTAAAAAAAATTATTTTATGTTATATAAATGATTACTGAATTCGAGGTCGCACGACTGTATTCAAATTTGATTATATTTGTGTACCACTTTTTTTTAAGTCGTGATTAAATGCTTAAAGAGAAAGATAGATTCTACGCAAAACAAATGAAATCGTTTTTCATCCTCTTCAAATATACACAAGTATTTATGGACGATACTAACTTTGGAAAAGACGGTATCTGAGGGACATTAATGTGGAAAAACACAGTAGGAATGGTTTGTAAGATCATCATATATATATATATATATATATATATATATATATATATATATATATATATAATTTTTTAAAAAAAAAATAGTTATAATTTAGGCTCTACTTTTGTATTAAGCAGCACTGCTTTTAAAAATAAAAACAAAATACTAAAGAATAAAGAACTTTGGATTATTTACCTAACGTGTTTTTCCTATTTTTCTATATAATTGCGCACACACACACACACAGATATATATATATATAGAGAGATAAATATATATATATATATAGACACACATTATATATATATAGAGAGAGAGAGACACATATATATATATATATATATATATATATATATATATATATATATATATTATATATGAATTGGGTATGAAGAACAAACTGCAAACGTTTATCAATCTAACGTTTCATTTTCATTAAAGCTTTATCAGAGAATGAAATATGGAGAAAAAAATCTGTTATTTTTGTGTTGGTCTGATTTTCATTAGTTAAGACATCACGTCCATTTAACAGGCTTCAAGCATTTTCAGTATAATTCAAAAACTCAAGGAGAGACGATGCGTTCTTTCGAAGCTCCAAAAAATGAAGCCATTTCAGGCCTAACTGAAATAAATTTAAATATTGCTTTATGTGTATTGCTGCCATATATGGTCTGGAGCCCCTTCTGTTTGCCTCGGGGTTCTTGATGAGATCCAGAGCGGATATGCAATATAATTGGCCCTGTTCTGGCATCTCGTCTACAGTCGCTCTTCCACAGACGTGCCGTCGCCTCTCTCTGTCTTTTTTTACAAATACTTTCATGGTAATTGTTCCGAGGAGCTGCATTCGCTGGTTCCCAGACTTCAGGAGTTCAAGCGCCCTACGAGGCTGGCATCTCGCTCTCACCCTTTCATTGTCGAAACTATTAAATGTAGCCGTCTCTTCTACTCCAATAGCTTCATGTCTCGCACTTCTCGCCTGTGGAACTCCCTTCCCTATTCCAGTTTCCCTGAGAGCTATAATCTCCTGCTATTCAAATGTAATGTCAATCGACATCTCCAGTTGCCTTGATCTATCCACTATCATTCTCCTCATCCTTTCCGCTATCACTCCTATTTGATCTTGCTCCAAATCTTCTGTAACCCCTTGCGTCCTAGTGGCTTCCCGCCTTGCTTGGGGTGAAACGCTTAAAAAAATGTATGCGAGTAGATCATAATTCTTGTTTGTCTATGTGGGATTAGGATGATAATGTATATCATTATATGTATGTGTATGCGGGTGTGTGTGTGTTTTGTTGTAGTAGTAGTAGTAGTCATTATTTATGTTCAGTGGTGGTCCGTATGTTAATCTGGGGACATTTTTACATAAACACCGGTAGTGGTAGATAATCAGACATTAGATTCTTTAAAAATGGATTTAATGAAAATTGGGGATATAATGTTATATATAGTGTTTTATAGTTGGTAAAATACTTATCAAGTTATTTAATATATATAATAATAGCTGACCGATCGTATCCGATGGTTCACGTCTACAACGGTGGTTAGTCAATCCCTGTGGCAGACGCCTGCTCAGGCACATTAGTATTTATTTTAAACCCAAAGAGCCCCAAGGTGGCTGATACTGCAAATACGTTGAGCGGATTTTAGCTACAGTTTCTGCTTTTTAAATTAAAAAAAAACATTATGTTATTTCTTTATATTGTTGAGAAATGTTTTTTATTATTATTATCATTGTTATTATTAGTTTGTAAATGTGACGGTAATAATGCGATGATGATGGTTTCGCTGCTTAAAATCACTAGACAATTTCAATGTATCTACTTTGAATATGATCACTCCCTTCCCCTACTCTATTTTTTTAACTTGTCCAGTCACGGAAGAAAAAAATATTTTCTGGGTCACCCTGTCGACTTGCTTAATTACTTTTCTCTCACTCTCTTCCCCATCCCTTCCCTATGTCTATCTCCTTTTCTCTTACCCCTAAAAAAACTTATATTGAAATCTCTGTATTTCTCTGCTTTTTCTTTCCCTTTTTAATATTAAATCTTTTTCTCTTTTCTTTCTCTTTTTTTTTCTTTTCCTTGTGTCCAAACAAATTGAGCTCCATTTATTTTTGTAAAACTGGTCTGAAGAGATGGACGCCTGAAGACTACGAAACAAATTATCACCTGACCGAATTGAGTTTTAAGTATTCTGTATTCATTATTATATTGCTCTGTTCTTACAGTGGGCTCTCTTTGTATTTATTTCCTCCTTGGAATTATCCCTAGTAATTATCGAGTGATATTATATATATATATATATATATATATATATATATATATATACAGGACTAATACAAATATGTAATTTGTCACTTAGCTGATTCATTTTATATTCAGCAACCTGTCTCCAGAAGTTTTGATAATCGTTTTCTCCACGCACCAGGAGCTAACACATACTGGAAAGGTTTATCTACGAAATCAGCGAAGTGATACATTTTGTATTTGTATTAATCGATATCGATCGCTTTATTGCAAATACTGTTACCTTAAATGTCCTTTCTTTCGTTCATAATTCCACTGACTGACAGCAATTATGGCTTGAAACTATATTTATCACTATATATATATATATATATATATATATATATATATATATATATATATATATATACAGGGAAAATCTATAACAAAGTGGAAAAAGTTTTCATGTGACGCGTTTCGTCCTTTAGGACTTCATCGGACTAAATTTTTAAAAGGACGAAACGTTTTTTTCCACTTTGTCATACATTTTTTTCTCAATATTGCTCTTTTCTTGATATATAAAAATATATATCGTTAACTCATATATATATATATATATATATATATATATATATATATATCAAACTATACCCCCGTTTATACACTAAGGATAATGCACACAGCCACAAATATGCACTTATCAGCGAACCGGATAAAAACAGGCTTGCACATGCGCACAGACATGCAGGGAATCGGAGTGCTTTTAATGGTTTTATTAGAAAGATTTATCTTCTGAGCCACCTTGGACGTCGTGCCAACCTGATCCCGAATTGTCCCTTTTCGACGCCTTTCGTGCTGTTCTTGAAATGGCGCTGTCCCCATTGACACTGCTTCTTTATAAACTCAACGGGGTTATTTGTGGACAGTAATAAATATGAAGATTTATTAAAGAAAAATATTATAACAAGTAGAAATATACGAGAGCAAAGACCGATTTCGAGGTGACTGACATCACCAGAATTGAACCCTAGTACTTTTCCCTAAACATATAATCCCAGATTTTAGTGGACACACGCGCACCCGCGATAGAGGTTGAGTAATGGATAAGCGGCTCGGATTGAAGAATCGGAGAGCCGAGTTCGAATTCTAGTCGAATCCACTACATTCACTCGCGTGAAACGGGAAAGGTATAAATTCTCTTCCCTCAACACCCCCCACCCCAGCAGGAGAGACTGTGTTCTATAGCAATGGATGGCAACTGGTGTAGGAGAAGGTAACTCTGAATTCAAAAGAGTTGGGCTCTGTCCGGCTATCTTACCCAAGAAACGCCACGGGCCATGGTATTCGCAATCGATATATATATATATATATATATATATGTATGTGTGTGTCGTGCGTGTGTGTGTGTGTGATAAAATATAGTTTTAAGGTATCACTCTGATGCGGCAGTCCGTTTCATGCTTAAATGCAATCGTCAGGCGAGATACATTGTAGTTTCCCATGACTATTTATATATACAGATGCATTGTTGGTAGTCCATTGTATTATTTTAATTTTGGTGGGCGGTAACGGTTATATTTCGAATTATTCTAGGGGCTCTTGAGTGGAAATAATTAAAGATCCTGATGCATTTAAATTTTATTTATTATTGATTATTTTATTGTTAGTCGTTATTATTACCACGTTTACTTATGGTACCGTGCACTAGGGTAGGTCGATTTTGGAACTGTAAAAAGAATAACTCGAGGAAAGTTGCAAAATAACGTCAAAAATTACCACAAAAAATATCTTTCTTCAAAACTTCGTATTTATTTGAGCAATCGAACTTAAAGAAAAAATAAATCGCGAATTTTATCATCATAACGGTGTCACCGGAGACATGTTTATGTTAAATTAAAACCGAGACTTAACGAAAAGAAAATAAGAAAATAAGGCTTAATAATGGATATTTTTGAGTTTATTATCTATTCTCTTATTAAATTAAATGAAATTACTACAAATAAAAAATAAAACACACTAAAAATATTTAGTTTAAAATACAAATAACTACTCATGAACGGCGTCGTT